CAAAGCAACATCCCCAAACTCTATCAATAGAATTAAATAATGATTAACTTTATATAATTTTTTTTTTTTTTTTTTTAAAAAAAAAAAAAAGTTTATCAAAATCGTTTATCACCTAAAAATTTCACATTTTTGGGTGTATGGGATTTTAACCGAATTTGGCGTGTACTCCCTCATTTTTTCAGGAGCCATCCAATTAATAACCTCCAAAATATTTATAATGTTTGTAGAGGGGTCTGTCATCATTCTCGCAAAATGGAAATTTGCCAGTTTTGGTTCCATAAAACTAGTTATTTATAACACAAATTAGTATTTTGAATGCAAAAAATATAAGATTATATCAGTTATATTTATACCATAACATTTCTGCATCGTAAATCGTGATGAAAAACACCGACGGAATTAAGGTATAAAATACCACGACAAATACCATGCGCAATCTTAATTTTAGTTTCCCATGAAATCGCGCTTTTAGAATAAACTTCTCTCAAATTTCCCATCTCAGCCCAGTCAAATACCATCACCTCTTTACCATCAACTTTTGAAAGTCCATAAAACTTGAGTATGTTTGGACTTTCAATCAATTTTCCCAAAATTGCTAACTGGCCGTAACATATTTGAACTGCTTCTTTTGAATTAGGATGAATAAATGGTCTACAAGCCACATCTATAGCTGTTTTATATACTTTCTTTACGATTTGTTTGGATTTTCCGCGACGATCCGAACGATTTCCATGTGATGGATCATGCAACTTGCACGGATCTATTCTTTGTGCATAAATTTGATTATCACACTTAAGTTCGGAAATCGGTAATTCTGTTAATTGTTTAATATGTACTTTTATCGAATTTATTTCTTGATAAAGCAAACTTATATGTTGGTTATTTTGATGATTTTTACTAAGGAGATTTTTCATAAGCTAAAAAAATCGTAATAAAATATTATTTAAATTATTTATGTGCTGTAATTAATTTCAAAACGTTAAGATGCCATACCTTTGTTATTTCATTTAAATCAGACGTCAAACTATCTCGGTCA